TGGAATAGCCGAGACCATCTAGAGGAAATAAAACAATTATGGAGAACTTTTCCTTTCCAATTTTAATAATGAAGACAGTGCAATATGGGGGCAAGATGTACACAGAGATAAAAAGAATGAAACAGGGCCTAGATATAAATCCAGAAATTACAGGATCACTTGAATTGTGACAATAATGTCACTGATATTGAACTGGTAACTGGTGGCCTTTCCAATAAATGGTGCAGGATGGATAGGTGTATGGGGGAAAGTGAAACTTTGGCCTTACTTACATCATACACACAAATTAATTTGAGTTGTTTAGGTGAAATGCGCATGTTGACACTATTAAGCTTCCAGAACAAAACACGAGAAGATCTTCATTACGATGGAGTACCTCTCAGCAATAAGGGAATGAAGTACAAATCACACAACAACCTGGGTGAATCTCAAAATTGTTACAGTAGGTGTAACATGTGTGATCCCTTTCATGTGAACATGTGTGAACTCAGGTGCAACATGTATGATCCCTTTCATGTGAACTTCTAGAACCACAAAATTGACCTATGGTGATAAAAATCTCAGTGGTGGCTGCCTCTGGGGTGGAGGGTGAAATCTTGACTAGAAGGAGACATGAGGAAACATTTCAGGTTATGAAAATGTTATATATCTTGTTTGGGGTTGTGGTTATATAGACTTCAGAATCATCAAAACTCATGGACTCTCAAATTCTATGAATTTTATGTATGTTAGTTTTATCTCAATTAAAAAATTATATACACACACAAGTGGGTAGGCAAACATGGGTTGACAGTTGTGAATACATAAAACATAGAGTTTATTCTTGTATTACTATTAATTTATTAATTATTGTATTATTTATTTGTATTATGTAAAACTACTTTTGTCCCCCCCCGCCCCCCGTCCATATTAGCCAATTAGCCTGGAAGTGAGTGAGAGCGAGAGAGAGAGTGAGCGAGTGAGCTTGGAAGTTGTTACTCCTGCCCTCACAAGAAAAGTGCAGAACAAACTGAAAGGCAAATGAAGACGCGTTAGAGAATCAAGGTCACAGGGCAAACCAGTGCCCCAGTCGGGAGAGACAGATGGATAGAGAACTACTGCTCCCTGCACACAGAAGCTGCAGCAGAGCCTAGTCAGAACACTTCCAGGCTAATTGGCTAATTGCTGGGGACTGAGCATGGGGAGCTTTAGAGTTAAAAACTCTGGGGTCTCAGGCTTGGGGGGACCCATATTTCCATGACTTTTTCCTCCAGGGGCCATACCAGGCTCTCAGAGAGATCTGAGAAAAACTCTATGTTTCATGCAAGGGAAGAGGAAAAGAACCAATCTGAAATGCACGCAGATCCTTCCATTCTCTGGAACAAGAGCCTGCCCTCAAGGTAAAGTGCTCTGTCATATCTAAGTCTAAGAACAAGTGAGCCACTGCCCCCCAACTGCAGCCTTCTGGTCAGTCAGGGACTGAAGCCACTAAACACTGAGGTTTACTCATAGGACTACGGAATACAATTCCACCCCACCAAATCACAGGGCTTCAGCATAACAGTGGGTTACACTGAGAGAGCAGGACGTGACATTCTATTTAAGAAGAAGCTTCTAGGGAAACCAAAGACAACAAGAGAGACAAAACCAGTCACCAGAGGAAACTGAAGTCTCACAAACAGTAAACACAGCCCAACTCCGGCCAGGTTAACATAAATCCTAGTTGTCTCAGTCCTATTACCCAATACATCATATCAGCTTCCACCAAAAAATCACAAGGCATGCTAAGAGGCAAGGAAAACACAGCCTGACAAATAAAGTAAGCAATAGAACCAGATTCAGATGTGGCAGAGGTTTGGGAACTATCAGACCCAGAATTTATAATGACTATGATAATATGCTGAGGGCTCTAATGGGAACATCAACATCATATAAGAACAGATGGGTAATGTGGTCAGAGAGGTGGAAACTCTAAGGAGAAATAAAAAAGAAATGCTAGAGATCAAAAACATAACAGAAATAATGTTATAATGCAAATTATAACAGAAGAACTCCCGTTCAACATCTTGCTGGAGTCCTGGATAATGCAATTAGACAAAAAAAAAAAGGAAATAAAAAGTGTACCGACTGGGAAGAAAGACATAAAATTGTCTCTGTTTTGAAGATGCCATGATTATCCATTTAGAAAAATCCCAAAGAACAAACACCAAACAAACAAACAAATTTCTGGAACTAATAAGGTACTATAGCAAGTTGCAGGATATAAAGTTAATATTAAATAATTCAATTGTGTGCTCACTTTGGCAGCACATGTGCTAAAATTGGAACAATACAGAGAAGATTAGCATGGCCCTTGTGCAAAAAAAAAAAATTCAGTTGTTATATATTACTATATACCAATAATGGAGAATTGGAACTTGAAATTAAAAACAATACCCTTCACATTAGCATCCCCCAAATGAAGTACTTAAGAATAATTTAACAAAATATGTACAAGATCTACCTATATAACTGATGAAAGAAATAAAGGATCTAAACAAATGGAGAGATAAACATGTTCATGGATAGGAAGATGATATTATGAAGATGTCATATCTTCCCAACTTGATCAGAGATTCAGTACAACCCCAATTAAAACCCTAGCAAGTTATTTTGTGGATGTCAACAAGCTGATTCTAAATTTTACATGGAAAGGTAAAAGACACAGAAAAGCCAACATGATATATTTTTGAAAAATCCTCATCCAAGGATGTTTTTATTGATGTATTTTTAGAGAGAGAGAGGAAGAGAGAGAGAGAAACAGCGATCAGTTGCCTTCCGTATGAGCCATGACCAGGGATCAAACACCCAACCTAGGTATGTGTCCTGATTGGGAATCCAACCCACCACCTTTCGTTGTATGGGACAAGGCTCCAACCAACTGAGCCACCCAGCTAGGGCATAGCCAACACGGTATTGAAAAAAAAACAAGATTGGAGGATTAACACTCTCCAACTTCAAGACTTACTATAGAGCTTTAATAATATTGATGGAAGAAAGACACACAGATCACTAGACTAGAATAGAGAGCCCAGAAATAGACCCATTAGACTCAAATAGTCAACTGAGCTCTGACAAAGAAACAAAGGCAATTTAATGGAGAAAAGATAGTGTTTTCAACCAACAGAAACCAACACCTAAATATCCACATGCAAAAAATGAATCTTGACACAGGCCTTTCACAAAAAAGAATACGAAATGGACCATAAACCAAAGTGTGAAATGCAAAACTATAACACTTCTAGGAGATAATATAGGAGAAAATCTAGATGACCTTGGGTTTGGTGATGAGTGTTAGTATACGTGCTGTGGAAGCAAGCACTTGGCCATGAGTTTTAGATACACCACCAAAAGCATGATCCATGAAGAAAAAGCTGATGTTGTACTTCATAAAAGTCCTGAACTTCTTCTCTGTGATACTGTAAACAGAATGAAAAGACCAGCCACAGAGTGGGAGAAATGCTTTGCAAAACACATATCTAATAAAGGACTGTTATCTAAGGACGCTTAAACCTCAACAATGAGAGAACAGGCAACTCACATGAAAACTGGCGGGGAGAAACACGGAGTATTCCATGCCCTGTGTGAGCCCCAGGACCCTTCTGCCTGCTTCAGTCAGGTGGTTCTTGTCCCCGACCTCACCCCTGATGATGACCCGGGGAGCAGTGGGGGTGCAGGTGGTTCAAGGGTGCCGTGAGGGGGAAGGTTGGCTGGAGGCCCGGTGACCAGCAGGCCCAGGGGAGAGTGAGGAGGTGGGATGGATGAACAGGCAGGGATAGGTCGGGGGCCAGGCGTGGTGGGGCCCGGTTGGGGGAGTCTCCAAGGGTAGCTGGCACTGGCTGCTTGTTATCTCAGTCATCTTCCATCTGCCTGTCCCTCTGCTGATGGCACTCAGATCCCAAGATAACAAGGTACCACTGTGATCAGCAGAACTGCTCAGATAACACCCGGACATGGACGTTGGAGTCGGGTCTGCCATCCTGGGGGTGGGGAGCAGCAGGGTGAGGACTTGGTGCTGTTCCCTCCCAAAGGTCACAAGGAGGCCTGTGTCAGCCCCTCCCTGGAAGTGAGATGGGGAGGGCTGAGCCCTGCCTCATAAATACAAAGATGTGGAGAGGAGTGACAATGCCCCATGGACACTCCCTCCTTCTTTGAGGGTGGCCCTCAGACATGAATTCCTCTTGGGGAACAGGTTGGGGTGGGGGCAACTGGTTGCATAGAGTCAGGGCAACACACTCGTCCCTTGGTGCCCGTGTCTGAAGGCCTCCTAGAGGGAGTCCTCACTGCACCCGGCAGAGGAGAGGAGTCTAACCCCAGCAGCTGGAACAGGAGCTATCTCAGTGCCGGGGGGCAGCTGGCTGACAAAGAGGTGTGCTCAAATGTCCAGTTCCTTGTCCATGGCAGGACCGGGGAGCCCCGATACACAGAGGGAGCTGGAGGGCACGTATGGACTCTAGAGCTTGTCTCCCCGATCCTAGCCAGGCTGGATTAGGCATCTCAGCCACCAGAGCCTAGGAAGCCAGGACCCACTTGGAGTGGTGGTGATGGTGGCTTGTCCTCTACTTGACTGCATGCCGCTCCCCTGTGACCTGTGGGTACACAGAAGGGTGACTGGGGAGCGGGGGCATATGTCACATGGAAGACTGTCTGAATCACCCACTTCCTCCACTCTGGATTGGAGGATCCAGCACTCCTCCTCCGGCCCCCTCCTGGTCTAGGAGGATAAATGGGGAGGGGACAGTGGGCTGAGGCAATGACAGGAGGGCACAGCCAAGGTAAGCACCCCCCACCAGACGCCAACATCTGGGTGTCAGTGCACTGAGCAGCTGAGCCTCAGATCTGGAGCAGCAGGACCTCAGACCTCACGCCTGAACTGACCCCTGATCCCAGGGACCTAGACTCCATCTGCACCCCACACGCTGCACACCCCCACTTGGCTCAGCCCCCAGCTGGGTCACATGGCCCCTCTTTGCTCCTTCCAGATGCTGAGCCTGCTGGTGCTGGTACTGCCCCTCCTGCTGAGCCTGGCTCACGTGGCCCCTGGTGAGTCCTGACCCCAGCCAGCCCTGTCCCTGCCCCTCACCCCACACCCTGCAGACCCACGATG